CCCTGAGGTCATTTTGAAGGTACATGTGTTGAGATGATGTGGAGCGATTTTGAGGCGAATCGGTGAAACGGCCGAGGAGGAGTCGCTTTCCAACCGACATGTATGAAAACTTTTGCTGTTCATTTTTCCATTTTGCAGTGAAATTTATGGGCTTCCTGTTTGTCAGAGGGCGGGGCCATAATAATATTTTTTTCTTGTCTTGACTTGAAAAACATGTGTACCAAATCTCATGTTTCTACGACAATTTTGACCTCCGAAAAGTCCCATAGGGGTATTATTTTGGCTGTTGTAGGTGGCGCTGTTCTGTCATTTTTTGAGTCCCATAAAAATAAACACCAAAATATCAAATTTTTCGCCAGGTCTGATTTTTGGGCCAAAATTAACAACTTTTCATGCATGTTCAGGGGGTCAAATTAAGGCTCAAAGTGCAGAAGAAAAAAGAAAGAAATAAATAAATAAATAAAAAAGGAATTTTTTTGTTAACGTCTCGAGCAAAAACAATATAGGTTTCAATGGCATGTGATACATCATTTTAAAGCTTTTGAGTTTACGCACGCAACTGTCACATTTTGGTGAGTGACGGGCGCTGACGCATCCGTCACGCACCGCCACCATTTGTTTTCACCATTGTGAAAGCAATAGGCCCTTACCCCGTTCGGGGCTCGGGCCTAATAAAAAAGGAATTTTTTTTTTAACGTCTCGAGCAAAAACAATATAGGTTTCAATGGCATGTGATACATCATTTTAAAGCTTTTGAGTTTACGCACGCAACTGTCACATTTTGGTGAGTGACGGGCGCTGACGCGTCCGTCACGCACCGCCACCATTTGTTTTCACCATTGTGAAAGCAATAGGCCCTTACCCCGTTCGGGGCTCGGGCCTAAAAAGGAATTTTTTTTTTAACGTCTCGAGCAAAAACAATATAGGTTTCAATGGCATGTGATACATCATTTTAAAGCTTTTGAGTTTACGCACGCAACTGTCACATTTTGGTGAGTGACGGGCGCTGACGCGTCCGTCACGCACCGCCACCATTTGTTTTCACCATTGTGAAAGCAATAGGCCCTTACCCCGTTCGGGGCTCGGGCCTAATAAAACAGTAAACAAATGTCACTGTGAAATGGATCGACTAAAACAGTTTCAAAACAAGTGCAAATCATTAAAGTGCTCTGTTCACACTGATAACAGCCTGTGGATAAAAACTGTTAGCGTAACGAGATGTCCTGCATCTCAGAGAGCGATATCTTCTGCCAGAGGGAAGAAGCTGGAACATGGCTTTCCCAGGGTGGCCAGAAGAGTCATTAACAATCCTAAGAGCTTTGTTTAAAAGTGTGGATTTATAAAGAACCTCCAGAAGAGGAAGCTCACAGCCCACGGTCCTCTCTCTGGTCTCTCTCTGGTCTCCCTCTGGTCTCTCTCTGGTCTCTCTCTGGTCTCTCTCTGGTCTCCCTCTGGTCTCTCTCTGGTCTCTCTCTGGTCTCTCTCTGGTCTCTCTCTGGTCTCTCTCTGGTCTCCCTCTGGTCTCCCTCTGGTCTCCCTCTGGTCTCACAGCCCACGGTCCTCTCTCTGGTCTCTCTCTGGTCTCCCTCTGGTCTCTCTCTGGTCTCTCTCTGGTCTCTCTCTGGTCTCTCTCTGGTCTCTCTCTGGTCTCTCTCTGGTCTCTCTCTGGTCTCTCTCTGGTCTCTCTCTGGTCTCCCTCTGGTCTCCCTCTGTCCTCTCTCTGGTCTCCCTCTGGTCTCTCTCTGGTCTCTCTCTGGTCTCCCTCTGGTCTCACTCTGGTCTCACTCTGGTCTCCCTCTGGTCTCCCTCTGGTCTCACAGCCCACGGTCCTCTTTGCAGAGCGGAGCACCTTGTTTAAAGCTCTCTTTTCTTTATCTGTGATGTTTCCAAACCACAGACACAGAACCAACAAGTAAACTCTCAATGGTGCAGCCATAAAAGTTAAGCACAATCTTAGAGTTAGTGGTAAATTCTCTAAGTTTACGCAGAAAGTAGAGACGCTGACGAGCTTTCTTAACGACTCGGTCAGTGTTTTTAACCCATTTCAGGTTAGACAGAGTTAAACCAAAAATGAGGATGAGTCTAGTGTCAGCATTAGAACTGAAGAGGAAAATTAAAGTGTGTATGTGTGCGATGATTACATTTGCCCACCAGATTCAGATTCAGTTTATTTGCCTTTTGCAGTAAAAAAAACCACATAGGAATACATTAGCAAAAGTCTCCAGTGTGCACAGACAAATACAAACATAAAACAACATTAAAAGACAGAAATAAAACAAATAAAACAGTAAACAAATGTCACTGTGAAATGGATCGACTAAAACAGTTTCAAAACAAGTGCAAATCATTAAAGTGCTCTGTTCACACTGATAACAGCCTGTGGATAAAAACTGTTAGCGTAACGAGATGTCCTGCATCTCAGAGAGCGATATCTTCTGCCAGAGGAAAGAAGCTGGAACATGGCTTTCCCAGGGTGGCCAGAAGAGTCATTAACAATCCTAAGAGCTTTGTTTAAAAGTCTGGATTTATAAAGAACCTCCAGAACAGGAAGCTCACAGCCCACGGTTCTCTCTCTGGTCTCTCTCTGGTCTCTCTCTGGTCTCTCTCTGGTCTCTCTCTGGTCTCTCTCTGGTCTCTCTCTGGTCTCTCTCTGGTCTCTCTCTGGTCTCCCTCTGGTCTCCCTCTGGTCTCTCTCTGGTCTCTCTCTGGTCTCTCTCTGGTCTCCCTCTGGTCTCCCTCTGGTCTCTCTCTGGTCTCTCTCTGGTCTCCCTCTGGTCTCTCTCTGGTCTCTCTCTGGTCTCTCTCTGGTCTCTCTCTGGTCTCTCTCTGGTCTCTCTCTGGTCTCTCTCTGGTCTCTCTCTGGTCTCTCTCTGGTCTCTCTCTGGTCTCTCTCTGGTCTCCCTCTGGTCTCTCTCTGGTCTCTCTCTGGTCTGGTCTCTCTCTGGTCTCTCTCTGGTCTCTCTCTGGTCTCCCTCTGGTCTCCCTCTGGTCTCTCTCTGGTCTCCCTCTGGTCTCTCTCTGGTCTCTCTCTGGTCTCTCTCTGGTCTCTCTCTGGTTTCCCTCTGGTCTCACAGCCCACGGTCCTCTTTGCAGAGCGGAGCACCTTGTTTAAAGCTCTCTTTTCTTTATCTGTGATGTTTCCAAACCACACAGACACAGAACCAACAAGTAAACTCTCAATGGTGCAGCCATAAAAGTTAAGCACAATCTTAGAGTTAGTGGTAAATTCTCTAAGTTTACGCAGAAAGTAGAGACGCTGACGAGCTTTCTTAACGACTCGGTCACTGTTTTTAACCCATTTCAGGTTAGACAGAGTTAAACCCAGAAACTTGCTCCTCTACGATCTGCACCTGGGAGTTGTCGATTACGACAGACAAATGAGAACTATTGCGACTGAAGTCAAAGACCAGTTCACATGTTTTGGATGCGTTCAACTGGAGGTTGTTAGTTTGACTCCACTGAACCACATTTTGTATCTCTGCTCTATAAGAGGATTCATCAGTGTCACTGATGAGACCGATGATGGTGGTGTCATCAGCATATTTGATGATCAAGTTTGAGTCAGAGGAGGACACACAATCGTGAGTGTACAAAGTAAAAAGCAAAGGACTCAAAATACATCCCTGAGGAGAACCAGATGTCAGTGTTTCATGCTAGTTTGAGCTCAGAGGCTTCAGCACATTTGAAACGACAATGAAAGCCTCAGTGTGTTACGGGGCTTCATACGTCCATCATTTGAAACTGATTTGGAAAAACAATATATTTTATTTTATGAAACTGGTGGGGTTCGGTCTCCAACAAGGTTAAGAATCACTGAGGGATAAGGAATCATATTCAAAGTTCGTTTGTTTATTAATTTAAATATTCAAATATGTCACTACTTCTGACTGCAGGGAAGCTATCGGAGCTAGCCACGCTCAATAACACAAATATCAATCAATCAATACATTTAAATGTTAATTGGACAATACATTATACATACATTCTTATCACACGTGCACGGAGGTTTTCAGAATTATCTGTAAACGATTTCATGACAAAAATACTGTTTTAATGTAATTTATTTTTTCTGTAAAGTTGCAGAGTTTAGAAGAAGTTGCACGATCGCTCTGATTTTGCGGAATTTGCTTGATTTTGCATTAGTGGTTGCAATTGTAAAATTCTTGAGGGATTGATTCAATTCATTAAAAAGTGCTGTTCAAAAGATTAGGCTTAATTTAACTGGAGCTGATCTCTCTATGGTTATGGTGGTCCACATACTGTTACTGATTTACCCCCTCCCTCTGTAAATACATCAGCCTCTTGGCAGTTTTTCTGCCTATCAACTCCTAATCATCCATCCGCTTTCTTCCGCTTAATCCGTTGCGGGTCGCTGGGGCAGCAGTCTGAGTAGAATGCCAAGACCCCTAACCAGTCACATGGAAATAAGTTATCTCTGTCTCCTGCACCTACATCTCTACATTGGTGACCCCATATGTTCGATCGTCTCGGCGCTCCCTCAACTATCTCTGGAGGTGCTCCTGCTGCGGTTACTCCAGCGTTAGGACCTCACAAACTGTTTTTCACCACTGAACCTGGGCCAGCCCTAGCACCCTAGCCATCCATTTGGTTGTGGGTGCCATATCAGAGAAATAACCAAAGTATGGATGGGACAGTGTGTGGGTCATCGGATCTGAAAAGAACATTAAGGAGGGGATTGAGATCAGAAAGCGGGGAAGCAACAGCAGCATGAACCAAAATGAGGGAGCCTTAGTCTTGTCACACACAAAGGAACCAAAAAAGTAACTCAACAATAATATTATATGAACCATTTTGCATACTGTTGTTATTGATTTACTCACACATGTACTTCCTGTAGCCGTCACCACCTCTTTATGTAAATACACCAAAGTTGTGCCCTTAGCCTTTCGACTGCATGTTAGCGATATCAAAACCAATACATATACCCGTTATAATAATATCAGTCTGAGTCCTATTAGCTGGGACTGTTATGTTCTGAAATGCACAGACCTTTCCTGCTTTCTGGGAAATTCCTGATCTTTCCAGGTGAAGTATTGGCAGGTGTCGTCGTGTGTGCAGGCCCTTTGACACTCTTTGTAATCACTGACAAAAAGAAAGCGATATTCCCCTCCAGTAAACATCACTCCTGGGTAGATTTGCTCCCTGCAGTATTCTGATGGGACCACAAAGACATTACATATAATTAACAAGACACATTCAATTCAATAATAAGTGTGATAAAACGTTTGTACCTGGCCTCTCGGAGCAGGTTTTGAGGGAATACCCCGAGGTGACTCCTTCAAGCTTGGTCTGTTTGCCCAGCATTATCCAGGACAGACCAGGGCAGAATAAGACCCAGGCCCAGCATTATTCAGGACAGACCTGGGCAGAATAAGACCCAGGCCCAGCATTATTCAGGACAGACCAGGGCAGAATAAGACCCAGGCCCAGCATTATCCAGGACAGACCTGGGCAGAATAAGACCCAGGCCCAGCATTATCCAGGACAGACCTGGGCAGAATAAGACCCAGGCCCAGCATTATTCAGGACAGACCAGGGCAGAATAAGACCCAGGCCCAGCATTATCCAGGACAGACCTGGGCAGAATAAGACCCAGGCCCAGCATTATTCAGGACAGACCAGGGCAGAATAAGACCCAGGCCCAGCATTATTCAGGACAGACCAGGGCAGAATAAGACCCAGGCCCAGCATTATTCAGGACAGACCAGGGCAGAATAAGACCCAGGCCCAGCATTATCCAGGACAGACCTGGGCAGAATAAGACCCAGGCCCAGCATTATTCAGGACAGACCAGGGCAGAATAAGACCCAGGCCCAGCATTATTCAGGACAGACCTGGGCAGAATAAGACCCAGGCCCAGCATTATCCAGGACAGACCTGGGCAGAATAAGGCCTGGGGGCTGGGTTTGGCCCATCAAGCGCGTTATTCTGGCCCGAGGTTTATTTTCATAAGTTACTTTTTCCTAAGTTACATACTGTAACTTTTGGAGTGAAAATACTCGAGTGAACTTAACCCCACAGCTGAAAACATGGAATCAGACTTTCACTCTCAGGTATGGCCACCTCAGGGATATTTTCTTTTGTGAGTTCCCTTTAGTTGAACCAGACACAGCTGCATTTGGAGCTCCCTAAATACACAACGATCAGGATCCAGCTTCTACTTTGTTGTTTCTATTATTCTTTGGTCTGAACTCTGAACACAAGGTAAAGATCAGCTGCTCTTCAAGGGAAGAGTATTTGCTCAAACCTTTAGGTAAATGCACATATTTCAGGCAGGTGATTATGGATTTAAAGCAGCTTCTCCGTATTCTCTATTTCTAATAATAATCTAGACTAAGCTGAAAAAATGAGAACTATTTATTCAGTGTTGTAGAATAAATATATCTCCTACTCTCAGTGCTACTGATATTGGGGTACCACAAGGCTCCAACATCGGCCCTCTGCTCTTCTCACTGTATATAAATGACATCTGTATGTGAGGATGTCAAAATCCAGATGTATGCAGATGATACGGTCATCTATACATGGGGAAGGGACGCTCAAACAGTAGCCAATAAACTGACTGTAGCAATGGAGAAGGTTGCAACATGGCTACATGAATCCTGTCTCACATTAAACATCAGTAAAACAGCAACAATGTACTTTGTAAATAAAAACAAAACAACCGTGTTTCCAAACATAACCGTAAAAGGAGGTGGTAAAAAATGTTAATGAATATTGTTACCTGAGTGTAATTTTAGTTCCCACCCTCAGCTTCAAAAAACATATCAAACAGATGAGCCTTAGCCTCAAACACACCATAAAAACACTGTATCAGGAACTCACTAACACTGGAGGGAGCCCAAACTTATTTTAATGCAATGATCATGTCTTGTTTTTATTATTGTATAACCTGTTGGTCCCAGGCAAATAAAACCACTCTGAGGTCATTGGAAACTCTGCACAAACAGTCACTTAAGATCCTCGACCGGAAACCACGACATCACCATCACTGTTTAGTTCTGGGCTTGTTCACTCTAAAGGGCACAAAAGTGTGACAAAAGGCCAAAAATTTGATTTTAATAATCAGAAGATATTTAATGTTTTTCATGTTTCCAAACACATCCTCTGTCCTTTAGAAGTTGCTAGAACAAAACTGTTTTATACATTAGACATGTTTCCTATAGCGGCCCTGTTTATTTTATGTAACAGATGTGATGACGGAATGAGCTGTGGAAGTTTGATAGGTATTTTCAGATTTTCTATTTTTTTACACAAAGTAGATGCAAAGTGATACTTTCATATTGTCAAGCAATTAAATGTGAAAACAGACCAGATTATTTTTTTCTCAAGTTTATAATTTAGAGAAAAGAGGACCGTCCTCATCACGTCCGTTATACATTTTTTAGGAGTCATTTAATTAATTAATTATTTTTTTTTTTTTTTTACGATTCCTTTTTATATGAAGTGATTTCCTTCTGTTGTGTTAACCATGTAAATCTGTGGGAGTTCATCTTCTGCTTTTTCAGACTGAGGACATTTTATTTCCTATGTAACTGAGTCACAGTAGAATGGTCCAATCAGAGGCTCATTTGGTCGTTTAAAATGTTGCTAAACATTTTTATGACAATCTTTCCTTTTGATTTTTTCCACACGATCTCTTCAATCTGTCTGTGTTTGAAATCTTTTTTCCAATCTATGAAAGTAATTTTAGTTTTTAAGTTATAACCTTTTAAAGTCCAGATACTTCAATTGTCACTTTACTGTGAACACGCTCACCTACAAAAAATACAGACTTATAATATACAATATTTATAGAGTAAACCCCTGATGATGATAATAGAAATTGTGTATGTTTTATTTCCATGTAGACAGTGGTGCAAAAAAGTCTTTAGTCGTCCACCAATAGTGTAAGTTCTCCTACTTTAAAATGAGAGATGCCTGTATTTTTTATCATAGTTACACGTCAAGTATTTAGTCTGTAGTTTCACTGTTGCTGGTATTTTAGCCCATTCATCCATGCAGATCTCTTCTAGAGCACTGGTACTTTTGGGATGTCACTTGTCAACAGACTTTCAACTCTTTTCTATCGGGTTGAAATCTGGAGACTGGCTCTGACCCTGAGACGCTTCTGACTGCTCCTTTGGCAGTTCAATGTCAGAAAGACCAAGCCACGTTTCTTCTTCAATGCCCTTTCTCTCAACATACAAGACCCCATTCATTATTTTCATTACATGGATCAATTGTCATGGTCGCTGTGCTGAAAGCAGCCCCAAAACATGATGTTTCCACCCCCATGTAGGTACAGTGTCCCTTGCATATCCACATCCTGATTCTTTTTTTTGCAGTTTTTAGAGAGCATTTGGAGGATCCAGAAAAGGATTTGAAGAATGTCCTGTGGTCAGATAAAATGAAAATAAAACTTTTGGGGTAAAAATTCCACTTTTGGAGGAGGAATAATACAAAGTTGATTCCAAAAAACACTATAGTTTTTGATATAATGGTTTCCTAGGGCCTAAACAAACTTGGGCAAATAAACAGTCAAATAGTCGCTGTAGGAGTTTATATGATGCTTCTTTTGAGCAAGCCTTTTACCTTTGATACTTGTACCTTTGTACTCATGCAGCCATTTCCCCCTTAGGCATAAACAAGACTGTGTTGAGTTGAATAATGCCTTTGAGTTTCCAGAAAAGCGCTAAATGTAAAACTGATGCAGATTCATTTATTTTCCATTTGCAGTAAAACCACTTTGGAATACATCCGCAAAAGTCCCCATTGTGCACAAGACAAGTACATACATAAAACTAGTTAAAAATACATAAAACAGGAAACACTGTGAAGTCGATCGACAATAACAGCTTCAATACAAGATCAATAAAGTGCTCTGTTCAAACTGATCACAGCTTGTGGAAAGAAGCTGTTAGCATATTGAGATCTCCTGCACCTTAGCAAACAATATTTTCTGTCAGAAGGAAGAAGCTGGAACATGGCTTTTCCAGGGGCCAGCTCAAGAGCTCGGTTTAAAAGTCTGGATTTACACTATAAAGAACCTCCAACACAGGAAGCTCACAGCTCACAGTCCCTCTCTCTGGTCTCTCTCTGGTCTCTCTCTGGTCTCTCTTTGATCTCTCTCTGGTCTCTCTCTGATCTCTCTCTGGTCTCTCTCTGGTCTCTCTCTCTGGTCTCCCTCTCTGGTCTCTCTCTCTGGTCTCTCTCTGGTCTCTCTCTCTGGTCTCTCTCTGATCTCTCTCTGGTCTCTCTCTGGTCTCTCTCTGATCTCTCTCTGATCTCTCTCTGGTCTCTCTCTGGTCTCTCTCTGGTCTCTCTCTGATCGGTCCTCTCTCTGGTCTCTCTCTGGTCTCCCTCTGGTCTCTCTCTGGTCTGGTCTCTCTCTCTGGTCTCTCTCTGGTCTCTCTCTGGTCTCTCTCTGGTCTCTCTCTGGTCTCTCTCTGGTCCCTCTCTGGTCCTCTCTGGCTCTCTCTCTCTGGTATCTCTCTGGTCTCTCTTCTGGTCTCTCTCTCTGGTCTCTCTCTGGTCCCTCTCTGGTCCCTCTCTGGTCCCCTCTCTCCTCTCTGTCTCTCTCTGGTCTCTCTCTGGTCTCTCTGGTCTCCCTCTGGTCTCCCTCTGGTCTCCCTCTGGTCTCTCTCTGGTCTCTCTCTGGTCTCTCTCTGGTCTCTCTCTGGTCTCCCTCTGGTCTCCCTCTGGTCTCCCTCTGGTCTCACAGCCCACGGTCCTCTCTCTGGTCTCCCTCTGGTCTCTCTCTGGTCTCTCTCTGGTCTCTCTCTGGTCTCTCTCTGGTCTCTCTCTGGTCTCTCTCTGGTCTCTCTGGTCTCTCTCTGGTCTCTCTCTGGTCTCTCTCTGGTCTCTCTCTGGTCTCCCTCTGGTCTCCCTCTGTCCTCTCTCTGGTCTCTCTCTGGGTCTCTCTGGTCTCTCTCTGGTCTCTCTCTGGTCTCTCTCTGGTCTCTCTCTGGTCTCCCTCTGGTCTCCCTCTGGTCTCCCTCTGGTCTCTCTCTGGTCTCTCTCTGGTCTCTCTCTGGTCTCTCTCTGGTCTCCCTCTGGTCTCTCTCTGGTCTCTCTCTCTGGTCTCTCTCTGGTCTCTCTGGTCTCTCTCTGGTCTCTCTCTCTGGTCTCTCTCTGGTCTCTCTCTGGTCTCTCTGGTCTCTCTGGTCTCTCTCTGGTCTCTCTTTCTGGTCTCTCTGGTCTCTCTGGTCTCTCTCTGGTCTCTCTCTGGTCTCTCTCTGGTCTCTCTCTGGTCTCTCTCTCTCTGGTCTCTCTCTGGTCTCTCTCTGGTCTCTCTCTCTGGTCTCTCTCTGGTCTCTCTGGTCTCTCTCTGGTCTCTCTCTGGTCTCTCTGGTCTCTCTCTGGTCTCTCTCTCTGGTCTCTCTCTGGTCTCTGTGATGTCACCAAACCACACAGCCACAGAACCAAAAGCAATGCTTTTAATGGTGCCGTGATAAAAGTTAAGCAGAATCTTAGAGTTAGTGGTAAATTCTCTAAGTTTACGCAGAAAGTAGAGATGTTTTATGATAAAAGATAATCATCGACCATTAAATGTCTTGTTTGGTCCACAGACCCTCTGGTTCTGACCGTGGCTGGTGAACTGCCCAAGTCTCCTCCTCCAGTGGGCGCCATCCCTGACCTTAAGCTGCTGCGCCCGATTCTCCACGAAATCCAGTCCTTACGAGACGAACTGGTGCAAGACAGTTACGCAGAGACCAGACCACGGTTTGGGAAACTCACCATGATTCTTGACATCATGTTTTTTGTCTTGTACTTCTTGACCGTTGTAGTTTTCATTACCTACTTCTACTTGCACTGGGCCAAACGATACTTTGAGGACTTCTAAAGGACCAGTTGATATTGATGTGAATAACATGCACATGCTGACACACAGACAAGAGTGAATAAAGTATAACCACCATAACAATTTATATTACCAGTAATCACATATACTAACAATTATATTGATCAGTAAATGTTCTTATAAGTATCTCCATAAAATGTTCTTATATTATCAGAAAGCATAAGTGTCTGCATAATAGGCCTTTGTTTAATGTGTTAGTGCGGTCAGTGAGAATTCAAGGACAGGCTGGTCTCTGTGCAAAAGTAACCTTTTCAGGAACGATGTGTCTGCTTCGCATGAGACAAAAATCCGGACCAGGCCAGTCTCAGGGACTGAGGGGATAAGGAGCCCATGACGTCTTCGAGGGACGAGTCCTGATCTTCAGCACATTTATAAAACTGTATTATGTAGAAATTGTGAACGAGTCTGGACAAGGGACCTGCAGTATAAAGTCAGAGCGCCTGACTTTATACTGCGGCTGTTTAGACTCTTTGTATCAGGGAATACACTTTTTGGATTGAACTTTTCGAATACTGGTCATCTTTATATGGGATTTTGAACACGTCATTTTTTACAATAATATTAATATGAATTTGAATGTTCAGATTGACGCATCCCAAAAGAGTTTATTATATATTATTATTTTAATGCTGAGCCCTGGCCTTTGAGCCCGAAGGTCGTGGGTTCGAGTCCACCACGAGATCTTCTCCGCCGACTCCACTGATGTCGGCTGTCGTTGTCCTTGGGCAAGACACTTAACCCACTTTGCCTGTAAGGAGCGCAGAAGTGATGTGTGTATTTGTATATGTATATGTATATACTGTATGTGTATGTGTTTGTGTTAGGGCTGTCAAACGATTAATTTTTTTAATCGAGTTAATTACACCTTAAAAATTAATTAATCGTAATTAATCGCATTTCAAACTATTGGCAAAATTATGCCATATTTTTCTGTAAATTGTTGTTTGAATGGAAAGATAAATGACAGCTTAGTGAACATATGAACTGTATTTGTTTGTTATAACAATAAATCCATATAAAATGGCATTAACATTATTAACATTCTGTCTTTCTGTTTAGACTCAGACCAAAACCATTGTTTGTTACAGATGAGGGACATTTCAAAACAGTCTGAAGCAGAATGTCATTAAATCTGTTTGATTTGCTCACAACATTACTTTTTTGGCACAACCAACATGAACTGATGGTCGAAAGGAAAATTAGGTACCTCAGCTTTAATTTAGTGAGTGCGCTTCGGGAGAAGACACGGAGGAGACTGAGGCTCCGCAGTCCAGCTTCAGCGCTGTACATATTGTGTGTATCTGTTACGCAAAGACACGTACGCACACTAGAGAATAGTTCTGTAATAGTTCTGTGCGTGGTCTTGGATATGATCCCATTACGCAGCGCCGTTCGCCGTCATCACAGCCGCTGGAAGTGGGAACGGTCCAGAGTGCTGTGGCGCCCGCAGCTCATCATGCAGAGTTCATACAGGAAACAACACGTGCCCCGCGGTCACTCCCAGAGACCTGCTCTGTCCCCGTCTTACACACGCATGTGTCCGCGGCATTCTGAGTGTTATTATGGGACGCATGGGCATGCGTCAAATGCGTTAATTTTTTTAACGCGATTAATGAAATGTTTTTATTAACGTGCGTTAACGCGATAATTTTGACAGCCCTAGTTTGTGTATATGTATATGTATGTGTATGTGTATATTTGTATGCATCAAACTGAAATATCCCCATTGTGGTACAAATAAAGGACCTTCTTTTATCAACAATTTGTGTTAGCTGTTAGTATTGTTATACAGTATGTTTTAGCATATTTGTATATTTTCTGGTCTCCATTGTCATGTCATTGTCATTGTCTAACCCTAACCCTAACCCTAACCCTAACCCTGACAATCAGAGCTTCCTCCCAAGTCTCACAGCACCAGTCCCTCTGGTCCTCCTGCAGGTGATGGGTCCACAGGAAGATGGCTGCTCTGTCAGCGACTAGATGGCCTTGGTCTTTCAGTGGGGGCTTCAGGCAGTGTGGGGTTAAGTGTCTTGCCCAGGGACACAACGACAGCAGACATCAGTGGGAGCGGGTGACATGGGTCGTGGTGGACCAGTGCTCTACCAGCTGAGCTACTGGGCTCTTGTTTTTGTTAATTGTTGAAAAAGCACAACATAGATAATAGTTTAAGTCTGTAAGTAACGACTGAAACAACTGGGTTTGCCTCCTGTAGAGAAGATAAACTTTATCCTTCCCAAAGTACGTATGTAATCTTTATATAGCGCCTCTCACAGACCAGAGTTCTGTCACCACTACCTCCTGTACTGCACGCCAGATCTAATGTGTTTAGGGTAAACACGGGGACAACATACAAACTCAATTCAGAAAGGCAACTGGGATTCAAACCCAGGACCTTCTTGCTGCGAAGCGAGAGTGCTAACCACTCAGCCACCATGCCGCCCAGTGGGGACATTTCGATGTAGAAGGTACGTTTGGATTCAAAGGTGTCATTTCTAAATTGAATTCTCAGATTTAGGGACTGCCTTTTTCACCATTGTTTTAAAAAGTGGAGACAACACTGAACATTTCCCAATGTTGGACAAATAAACTTTCTCTTCATGTTTATTTAATATAAGATGTATATACAGTACAGAGCAAAAGTGTGGACACCCCCTCTCATTCACTGAGTTCTGTTCATGACTATTGCTGTAGACCTGCACCCAGTCCTGATGGTTTTGGACCTGAACCCAGTCCAGATGGTTTTGGACTTGAACCTAGTCCAGATGGTTTTGGACCTGAACTCAGTCCAGATGGTTCTGGACCTGAACCCGGTCCAGATGGTTTTGGACCTGAACTCAGTCCAGATGGTTCTGGACCTGAACCCAGTCCAGATGGTTTTGGACTTGAACCTAGTCCAGATGGTTTTGGACCTGAACTCAGTCCAGATGGTTTTGGACCTGAACCCAGTCCAGATGGTTTTGGACCTGAACCCAGTCCAGATGGTTTTGGGGCTGGACCACAGAGTGAAGGGGCCAACAAGTGCTAAGCATCATGGGAACTCCTTCCAGACTGTTGGAGACCATTTCAGGTCCTGTTGAAGCTCATCCAGAGAATGCCAAGAGTGAAGCAGTATCAGAGCAAAAGGAGCTACTTTGAAGAACCAGAATAAAACACATATTTACACATAATTCACATGAGTTCATCATAGGTTTGATGCCCTCAGTGTCAATCTACAGTTTTGATAGTCATGAAAATAAAAAAACTCTTAATGAGAAGGTGTGTCCAAACTTTTGGTCTGTACTGTATAGAAGATGCAGTGGTTCAGTTGGTAGAGCATTGGCCTTTGAGCCTGAAGGTCTTGGTTTCCAGCCCACCGTGAGACCTTCTCCAACTGATGTCCGCTGTCGTTGTGTCCTTGGGCAAGACACTTTTCCTTTAAGGAGCAGGGGAAAAATGTACGCTGCCTTGTGTGTGTGTGTGTGTTAATCAAACTGAAACTTCCCCACAGTGGGACAGAGAAAGGAATATCTTAATATGTGTTCCACTGCTGTTTGAGGGAGTCATTTAGACTGTTCTGAGAGATGAGGGAGTCATTTAGACTGTTCTGAGTAGGGTTTAATCCCGGGATACGGGATTCCCGGGAAATCTGATGAAAACTATTTCCCAATTCCCGGGAAATGTTATGACGGGAAACGGGAAATGAAAGTAAAAAAAAAAATACAGTGCGTTCCTATTATAAAGCACGTGTATTGTTGTTCAAAGTTCAAAGATATTTCATTTACAATCAACATGTCTACAGCTGAGAGGATGGCTCATAAATTGTGTTTTTGACAACAAATATGGGTCTTAATCGCGCTAAACCACGACTTGTAATGAGGCCAGGCTCAGGGTACGGGGCGCATGTGAGCCCAGAATTTGGTTACGTCCAATTCTATCAGAAAGCTCCTTTCTTTTTTTCCATCTGCTAAGGGCAGCAACAGGTTTGGCTAACATACAGATAACACTTTTTTAAAATCATATAAAATGCATTTAGGGTAATGTTCTGCTTACAATGACGATAGGAATGATAAGGAAGAGAGGAGAAGGGTAAGAAGGTTGATATTAGAAATTGGATGCGCCCGAGAGCCGGCTGCAGCGAACACACAGGAGTTTATGGAGGTGGCACCCGTTTTGTTTTGCGCTTTAAAACTTTTTGGGCTTATTTCCAAATGGGGGATTACATATCTGCGCTCAAACTATTATCTGGACTTAAACATGAAACTGGTCTGAACCGAAGTGGTCTGTGCTGTTCATTAATAACTAAGGTAAGACCCATAACACAATTGGAAATGTGCCTTTTACAAACTTTTGCGTTTTGTTTGAGCAAACAATGCGGGCCATGGAAAACATTCTGCTGTAGCCAAACTAATTGTGAATAAGCCGCTCTGCAGGTTCTGTTGATTTATATGATATATGTTCATCTGACAGGGCTGAAGTCAGTGCCTCCAAACCACACGCACGTCACTGGTCGACAAGTGGATTGCGCAGACATTTAGAATCTCATAATAGTGAAATTCCTGAAGAAAGCCCATCAACAAAACGTCTGAAAACGCTATGGCTACTTTAGCAAAGCTAGCACGTCGCTTGGTGAAATACTAGTGGAGATGGCAGCTTTTGTTGGATTATATATTTGAGTGATATCACACATTACTTGGGCTAAAAACAACAACTACAAACAACAGCTATTTCCCGGGATTTCCCGGGATTTGATACTTCTCATTTTCGGGAAAAATATTAAACCCTAGTTCTGAGAGATGGGGGAGTCATTTAGACTGTTCTGAGAGATGAGGGAGTCATTTAGACTGTTCTGAGAGATGAGGGAGTCATTTAGACTGTTCTGAAAGATGAGGGAGTCATTTAGACTGTTCTGAGAGATGAGGGAGTCATTTAGACTGTTCTGAGAGATGAGGGAGTCATTTAGACTGTTCTGAGAGATGAGGGAGTCATTTAGACTGTTCTGAGAG